CCCGTCGCCCACTATTACTGCCCCGCACTCCATCACCGTCTGTTAGCTGGGAGGCTGAGCGAGCGCTGTCTAACGAGGCTGCAGCAGTGCCAGACGTCGCCGAAGCAACGGCATATCAAGCTGCGCTCGACGATAGTGTGGACTCAGTGGAGACAGGGCACATGGAATGCGAGGAGTGAATTGTATATTGTATAAATCATAAATTCAATCGTCATGTTTCTTGGTGTAGTAAATGCTATCATTGGACTCCTGGAGCAAATCTGCAGACAGTGGCTGATTATTTGTCAGCAATGTGTAAACTAGCCAACCATTCAAAGCATAGCTAACGCACAACGCGCATTGCTGTCCGCATGGCGAGATGTTTGTCATTAGTCATTTGAGCGTGCTTTTATTCGCTGCTGGCGATCTCGCATGTAAGAGATAAATATTTCTACTCCCAGCCATTTGAATGCATGATTGCTATCTCCGTGATTAGGCCACCGGCATGTGTAGATTGCAAGATTGGCTAATACTACATCACTTGTTCCGCCTGTATGTGGTCGCCACTGGCCACCTTATGCAGTGTGGAAGGCTATGACCAAAGGCACTTTAATTTTTTCCTGCAAATGTGCAGTCGCCACTGGCGGCCACATGCAGCCCGCCAGGTTAACCAAAGCTGTTTGTGCTGTTTTTCTACAAACAAACAACAACGATACACATATGTGGTCGCCACTGGCGGCCATATAGATCGTAAGATTGGCTAATGCTGCTCGACTAATTTCACCCATAGATGTTCGCCACTGGACACCTTGAACTAATTTGCAAGGTTATGACCAAAGGTACTTCAATGTCTCCCTGCAAACGTGCGGTCGCCACTGGCGTCTGCATATCGCTGGCGAGGTTTGACCACAACTACTCTGCTGCTTCCCCACTAAATATGCAGTCGCCACTGGCGGTCACTCTTTGCAGCATGCTGACCACACAGCCACTATGCTGTACTTGGCCGCCGCTCTGCACACATGCAGTCGCCACTGGCAGCCACGCACTGCGTTGGAAGCGAGCGTCAAGCGGTAGGAGCCAGCGTCAAGGGCAGTGGTCGGCGCTCGAAACGGTCCCTACCGACCCCTACCAGAGCTCATAACCCTCCCCGGGGTCCCATGGCGCAAGGTATAAGTACTTCCTGGAATGCGCTGATGAGTGTCACCACGAAAGCCTCCGGAACTCCTCACAGAGTTCGGACCTTCGCCTTCCAGTCTCACCTCAGCAACGTCACCTCGCCTCGCTTCGCTCGGCTCGGCTCCCCCCAAACCCTAAACCCTGTGTCTGAGGAGACTGCCATTCACTCAGCACAGGGGACTGCTGTCAAAAGAGTTACAGACGCTGTCCCAGAGATGGAGCTGACAGATAAAGCTGCTGACACATTTGAAGACGACTCCTTTGACTCAGACAGCACTCATAGTAGTATGCCTCGCCTTGCAATGCTATTGGAGCAGTCAGACTTCAACTTCTGATCTATGTAGCATTTGAAATGTTATGTATTCAATAATGATGTTGACTATGTAACCTCTCTGTGTGCTCCTTTCAAGTAAGACAACAATAACCTGTCAGTGATCTGTATACTCACAGGTACATGACTCGCAGATTCAGATGATCCTTGGGAACAGATCTGTGTGGCTCTGGGTGAAAATCTTCAGATGCTGAGTACCTGCCACCATGACTCCAGATTGAGCCACAAGTGGACTCGTGCTAGGCTTTGCACTCAAAGACCTTGCCTGCAAGCAAGAAATGCAGCTCAGAGATAACAGCAGCTATAAAAGTGCATGGTAAACCAAGCATCAGAGTCACTGGCTGCTGCACATTGCCAAACTCCTTGAAAATTCTGCGCCAGCCATAGAGACTTGTTTGAGAAACAGAGAAAATTGCCCAGATGTCATCAGAGTGCCAGCCTTTCTTTCAAAGTTGTAGGGCACACTTCTTGAGGTCAGAGCTAATCCTGCGGCACACCATAGTAAAGATGGCTGAGAGAATGAGCATCATGTTCTCTATATGCATCAATGCCAATTACTTAATTTATAAGAACTCTGATGATAGCTGGG